GTTCAAAAGAATTATGTCTTCCATTTTTGTAGAGTTTAGGAAATGTTCAAAATAGAGAATATTAGGTATACGGTTTTTACACATCTTTAGATTTTTATTGAGTAAATCATACACTCATCTTTTCATGTCAGGTTGATTCATGTCCTGGTCTTTGCAGGGTTTTCTACCTGAGTTTTTTCCCGTAAGATAGAACTGTCATTTTCTGCAACTCGTTGATCCGTCGGTCTGTACTATCTTTCGCTTTGGATAACATTATAAAATCCTGTGAGTGACTGAGAGAATTTTGGGTTGCTTACATTTTATGTGTTGTACTTTTGAGATGAGGGTTAAACAAGGATCCTAAGGGGCATGAGTGAGATTGACTTCTGGGCTCCAGAGATCAATGGTTCTTGAAAGCAGGGGAGAATTTTGAAAGTGGTAGGAGACAGGAAGATGATAAAATAATACCGTGATGAGAGGAATCTTGGAAATGAGCTTAGGGGAGAGAAAACAGAGATGTTTGAAGGAGAATTCAAAAATAGAAATCACTACAAATGCTTGAAGTTGGAATTGTTACTTGGGGGTCTAATCAGGTACCTGAGGCTGATCCTGATGCATATGGGTGAGAACAGAGTGTCTGAGGGGGTCACTGGCCGTGTTTTGATTTTGTATCACTCCATGTTATTCTCCCTTTTAGATGATTCAGAACTCTGGGTAGAAATAATCTCCAGAGCTCAGATAAAATAGTGGTTTCCATCCTTACCTCATCTCTAGGGGCTCTCTCTGAGTTTGATAGCTTCACTTCTGCACTGACAATTTCATATAAAATGAAAAAAATACATTGATGATAATTCTAATGTGTTTTGATAAAGACTTCTCTGGATTTGTACACCTGTCAGAAATAGGATTATGTCATTCTGGTTCTTAGCTCATATAAGAAATATAGATAGATACAAAGATTAAGGCTTCACTTTCACACAGTAACTGCTGGCAGAACTGGAGGTGGAACTCCACCATCTGGTCCACATGTATGTAGCACTCACCCACTTCTTTGAAAGATTGCTTGGAAGAAACTAGAGATAGACCAAAGAAGCAAGAGGAAAACAAAAATCCTCATTTTTCTGATCTAAAAATAACAATTCTACTTCTTTTAACAGGTAGTTAAAAGAGGACCATCCTAAATTAAGAATAACAACCCTACCTCTTTTAACACTGTGCCATCATTGCCATATGACAGTGGTCAGTCCTAATCAGTTACAAACCCATCTGCATAGGTTTCTTATTAATCAGATTCAGTCTGGTATTTGCAAGTCGAAGTTTCAGACCATTCTGGAATGTGACTGAGCAGGTGAAAAAGAATTCACTTTTAAATATTCTTAACATTTTTAAATGCAATTTACTAGCTGGCGTGACTTGGAAGAAAATTAAGAAAAAAATGAGTGAAACCTCTTTGGAAAAGAAGGCAGTGAAAATAGGTGGAAACACCTTTTCTGACAAAAGTTGTGCTGAATGAAGTCATGTGTGATGTTAGCCAGCAAAGCTGGACATTTGCCACAATTGGCTGTTGTGTCTGCCTGATGAAAATGACAATTAGAAAACAACAAAATAACTGTGGATAGGCAAGTGCCTATTTCAACTGTGAATCATGTATTGCTTTGTTATGTAATTGGTTGCTTAAGAGGGTGTCATGGTTTTAGAGAAACAGCCCTGAGGTTCAGTCTCGTTCTACTACTTGCTAACTGCATGACTTTGGGAAAGTCTTTATCTCATGTCTTCATATGAGTCCTCATTTATCCTCATATGTAAAACGGGGATAATATAATAAGGCTGAACCTTATTATATATGCTATATAATAGCATATAAAATTGCAATTTCTGAAAGTCAGAAATTAGCATATATTGGAAAGCTTCTAAAAAACTTTATTCTTTCAATTCAAAATAATGAATCAACTGCCTGATGCATGTTAGATATTATATTAAATCTTAGGAATTCAAAGTGGTACCATCCACATCCTCAAAAATTCCCAACTCTTAGAAATTATCATATATTGGCAGGTTCATATGATTCAACCTAATAGCGTCTACCTCACAGGATTATTGTGAAAATTAAATGAGAAATGCATGAAATGTTTGGCACACAGGCTCATAGTAAGTGCTCAATAAATGGTGAATATTATTATTCTTAAATGAATCATGTAAGTATTTTCTATATAATAATCAAACTCACTCCCACTTATTTACAACTTCTGTATCAAGTTTTAAGTCCAATCTATTTACTAGAATACAATGATTTAGCGCACATTGATTTTTTCCCATACACATTCATATGCAATGATTGCTCACTAAAATGCAGAAAGGGTGAGGTTACAATGTGTGTTTTTCTTTTTTTTGGATTTGGCTTCTTTCACTTAGCATATTTTCAAAGTTCATCTCTGTTATAGCATGTGTTAGTACTTCATTCCTTTTTATTGATGAATGAGATTCTATTGTGTGGATATATTACATTTTGTTTATCCATTCATCAGTTGATGGACATTTGAGGTGTTTTGCTTTGGGACTCTTATGAGTAATGCTGCTATGAACATTTGTGTATAAAAGGGCACATCGTATGATCCCATTTATATGAAATGTCCAGAGTAGGCAAATCCGTAGAGAGTGGAAGTAGATTAGTGGTTGTCAGGGGCTGGGAGGAAGGGAAATGGGGGGTGACTACTAATAGGTACAAGATTTCCTTTTGGGATGATGAGATGTTCTAAAATTAGGTAGTGGTGACGGTTGCAAAATATTTTAAGCATACCGAAGACCACTGAATTGTACACGTTGAAAGGGTGAATTTCATGGTGTGTGAATTATGTCTCAATAAAGCTGTTATTTAAAAACATTTCATTAAAAATATATGTTCACCATATATAAAAAAAGAGAGCACCTGATAGTATATGCAGCTTATTATCAAAAGGAGACACATTTTGCCTTGAGAAGGGTTTCGGTAATGTTTTTAATCTATTTCCATTTTAAGTATAGTGTACTTCACTCTTATTCTGCTCTGCATTTGTGATTGAATTTGACTCTCAAATTATTCAAAGAGCTGTGTAGACTTTTAAAAGGCAGTAGAAACAATGGGAAAAAGCAGAGATAGCTCAAAGGTTGTAGAGTTGTACTGATGCTGAAAAATCAATGAGATTAACCAAGAAATTGGCTCAATAAGAAACCAGGGACTCCCAAAGGGGGTTTTACAATTCAGAAACAGGAAAAAATTAGAAACCAGTTTATTTGCAATTTGCATAGATTCCTCTACTTTGTGAGGTTTAGTATAATTGAAATGTATTGCAATTTTCAGGAACATTACCTACAAATTGATATTAGGTGGTCTATAGCTTGTAATTGATGTGCTTCATGATAAAGATGGCAGTAATGATGTTTTAAATATTCTAGTGCTCATTGGATTTCATTTTTGCAGGCAATTTGCAGCTCCTCTGAGTAAAATATTTATATTCAATTACAGAGTCTGATAAATAGGATTTCCCCCACCCCACCCCTTCTAATCACTGCAAAGTATTAATAGTGCTTTCTTATGGCCGATTTCTTGCAGGGAGCAAATAAGATTATAGCCTCATTTCTTTCAAAACCTCAGCAGCATCTCCTTCTGGTAGCCATTTAGATACTTTCTTCCACCTCTTTGACTTCAGATGACACGACCTTGCCATCCACTACTTCTTGCACGACTGTCTTAATCTTCCTGGTTTTCTTTATATCTGAATTCATATTAAACATTAAATGTTAATTCAGGCACATGACTCTACTGATTTATAATATTCAACTTTAAATTATTATTCTTTTTACTTATTTCCTTCTTTTAGAAAAATATGTTAAACCCATCCTCTTTCTCAAAAAATCTTAAGTCCATTTTATAAATAGATACAGAAAATGTGCTTCTCCCCAAATTTACAAATATCCTACTCTTATAAATTCAAGAAATAAATGATCTTGAATTTAAGTGGAATTCAGATTTTGTCTTGTTTTTCCTTTTCAGGATCTCAGATGTCTCAAGATAGCAATAGCACAGGCCAAGAAAATCACCCCGTTCTGAGGAGTGTGCCCAAGTTCCCACATAGAGGGTTTCTTTATGCCATGTACAAGATTTTTAGAATCCCTGGTGTCATATCTGCTCTTTTGAGAATTGGCCTTTGCTATGGTTTGAATGTGTTCCCTAGAGTTCATGTGTGGAAAACTTAATCCCCAATGTAACAGTGTTGGGAGGTGGGGCCTAGTAAGAGGTGATTAGATGATGAGGGCTCTGCCCTCATGGATGGATTAATGTGGTTACCATGGGAATGGGTTAGTTATTGTGAGAGTGGGCTAGTTATAAAAGCAAGATCAGCCTTCTTTTTCTCTCTGGCTCTCATGCACACTCTTTTGTGCTTCTACTTTCTGCCATGGGATGACGCAGCAAGAAGGCCCTCACCAGATGTTGGCACCTTGATATTGGACTTTCTGGCCTCCAGAACTGTGAGCCCAGTAAACTTCTATTGTTTGTAAATTATTCAGTCTCAGGTATTCCATTACAGGAGCAGAAAACAGACTGAAACAGCCTCACTTTACTTTTTATCCATGGGAGATAGTTATTGGAAAGCAGCTGAGTGTCATAGAAAATGTGCAAAAATTTAGAACTTACCTCTCTCTTCCAGGGTGCTTAACTGATACTCTGTAGTTCTGTTTTGTTTTGTTTTTTTTTAATGAAAAGAAGAAAAAAGAAACAGAAAAAAGGATTATTGCTGTTTTGAAAATGGAATGCACTCTTGTTTTTTATATTTCAAAGTCCAAGTGAATGTGTTTTAATGCTTTCATGTATCTTTCTCTTTTACATTGCTTGTTATTGCAAACTTGAGCGTTTTACTTTTTAACTTGAAAAATACATAGCTTTAAAACTGACCAGTTTAATATAAGCTAAGAAGTTCCTCTAATTAAAGTAACAAAATTACAATGGAAGTTTAAATCTTGTGTTCTCTTGTTGATATTCTTAGGTATGGTATCTGAAGACAGTTGCTGCTGCCACACTGATGATTCTGGCTCCCGTGGACCTCTGCAACTTATTTTCTAATTCATGAGCTCTCAATTAGAATTTCCAAAAGGCTGTTATGCCTTCAATTATATATTAATGATGAAAATTAATATCAGCATAATCTATCATTTGGAGAATTATCTTCTAACTCAGTCCTATCACATGATCTCAAGGCTGTACTTGATATTTTGGGCGTGTGTCTACTTTTTGGTATATTTTCGTTTTGTTGGTGGTGGTGAGGCGTGTGAGTATAATTACTTCTGTCTTAGGGATTGCATTGGTGCTGGGTAATGAGTGACAGGGACATTAAAATAGAAGTGCATACAGACATTGACACCTATTCCTTGATTCTAAGAGCCTTACCTTACGTCTTCTCCTTCCAGAAGGCGGCGGTAAGTAGCAATTTCCTGCTCAAGCCGAGTCTTTATGTCAAGAAGGATATGATATTCATTGTTCTGGCGTTCCATGTCACTCCGAATCTGCATCAGTTGGGCCTCCAGAGAGCTCAACAGCGACTGGAGGTTGGCTAACTGGCTGCTGTAACGGGCTTTGGTCTCCTCTAGGGTGTGCTCCAAAGACTCTTTCTATGAGCACAAGAAAAATAGGGCATTTCTTGTCTAAGGACTTGATTCAAGAGATGGGTCAATTTTAATTTATTTTGAGAAGGGTCTCTGCAGTTCATCACTGTGGGCATGGTGTGTATTTCTAGCTCCATCTCCCACTCTTCCCAATTAGGCAACCTCAGCCAGCCAGCTAGGATCATTAGCTCTTGGGGTTTTTCTTTGCTTGTAGCTTTGCACCCACTGTTCTCTGAGTGCAGCACATTGTAGAATTGTTCTCAATATTTGCTTCCTCACCATGTGAAGATGTTATACCTCTCACTCCTTCATCAGACCTGGCCATGTGATCTGTGGCATTTCTCAGTTGCAGGATTAGATTCCTTTAATCCATTGACACCTGGCTGGGTCATGTGACTCTCTTTGGTTAATGAAATGCTGGTCAAACTGACAAATGCCTTTTCTTTTTCTTTTTTTTTTTTGAGACGGAGTCTTGCTCTGTTCCCCAGGCTGGAGTGCAGTAGTGCGATCTCGGCTCACTGCAACCTCTGCCTCCTGGGATCAAGCGATTCTCCTGCCTCAGCCTCCAGTAGCTGTGATTATAGGCACACACCATCATGCCCAGCTTATTTTTGTATCTTTAGTAGAGATGGAGTGTCACCATATTGGCCAGGCTGGTCTCGAACTCGTGACCTCAAGTGATCCTCCTGCCTTGGCTTCCCAAAGGACGAATGCTTTTTCTAAGGAGAAGCTTTAAGAGCTATCAAGTGGCCCAACCATTGCTCTTTTCTTTCTGCCAGAACACTGGCTTGTCCTAGGTAGGGCCTACCCCTTTAGCCTTGCCCTTGGAAAGGAAATGTCATGATGGATGTAGTATTGTGGCTGCAGGCCACTGTGGTTTGAGGGATTCTGGTTACCACAGCATAATTTGTCATGGGCTGGCTGGTTTGCTTGGCCTGGAATGTCTCTAGTTCATTCTTCAGCTTAAAATTGTATCTTAAATTTTAAGATCTGGTATAATGGACACATACAGGGGAATAGCAGACACGGGGGCCTAACAGAGGCTGGAGGGTAGGAGGAGGGAGAGGATCAGGAAAAATAACAAATGGGTATTAGGCTTAATACCTGAGTGCTGAAATAACCTGTACAACAAACCCCCATGACACAAGTTTAACTATATCATAAATCTGCATATTACCCCTGAACTTAAAAGTTATAAAAATATCTGGTTTAAATGCCACTTTCCCAGTGAAATCTTCCAGATTTACTCTTTCCTCTGCATACATGCAGTACATTGCCCTTTCCTTGATTTCTCTCTGTCCTTTGATTATAATCAGTTGTTCGGCCTCTTTCCCTGCCAGCTCTGCAAGGGGAAGGGTTATTTCTTGTAGGTCTTTGCATTTCTAAGTTCCTAACAGAGGACCTTGGTAAACACATACTGGATTGAGAAAGAGAAGTTAGATGTGCTTTACCATGCTGAGATGGGACTGGAGGTCTATCTCGAGGCTCTGGGAGGTGCGTCTCAGCTCTGTTAGTTCAACCTCAGTTCCTTTTAATTCTTCAGTGTTCACTGTGACCTGTTGCTGCAGAACTTCAGTCTACAAAGTACCGAGAGTGAAAAAAAAAAAAAAACAGTTGAGGGATGGAAATAAGAAAGAAAAGACAGAAAGAGAAAGAAAGAATGAACAAATGAAGAAGAAACTGAGTTATCTCTTTCTGGAGGAAAGCTTCTACACATTTGCTCACACTTTACAATTGTGCGGTTACCTGTCTCTCAAACTGTTCTTTGGCCTCTTGAAGGTTCTTCTGGGCCATGACTTCATACTTCTGCCTCATTTCATTCATGATGGCACCAAGGTTCAGGCCTGGAGCAGCATCAACCTCCACATTGACAGTGTTGCCCAGATGCTTGTATAGACCATCGACTTCCTATGAAAGTGAAAATTCTGATTGATTTTAGTCTGAAGCACATTCTCAGATAAGGTTGGGCAGAAAAAACATAAGAAGTCTCATGACCTCTTTCATTGGCAATGAGTAAAAAAGAAATAAAATAATAACTTGTGTTGGGCTTATTGTGGTCCAGGTACTGCTCTAAGTCATTTAACCTACAACAACATTATGAAAAGAAGGTGGGGCTTTTATCACTATTGTCATCATCATCATCTCTGTCATTACCACCACCAACTCTTCCCCCTTCTCCTGTTTCTCCTGCTCCTCCTATTATTATTATTATATAGAACCATTCTATCGTTTCCAATACCACTTCTGAATATTTTCTTACCTCTTGATGCTCTTTTTTGAGGAGAGCTAGGTCTTTATTCAGTTCTTCAACTTGAATCTCCAAATCTGTTTTATGTAGGGTTAGGTCATCAAAGACCTTATGCAGGCCTTGGAAATCAGCTTCCACTGTTAGGCATATTCCCCTCTCGGTCTCATACCTGGGAATTAATTAGTATACAGAGATAACTGGTCCTTCTGTAGCCATTATAAGAGAGAGAATCTAATATAATGAGATAGGTTTTTAAATGTGGCTTATGAGGAGATCAATTTCAATACTTTATAATGTCTGCCTTTATACATTCATGAAATGTACATAAGAACCTAGGAATCAGACAATTTGCTCAATAATATAATTTCTATAATTTGGAGTGACTGGAAAAAGGCAATCTGAAATAATTTTGAGCACTTCTAAATTCTAGAATTTATCTTACAAGAAATTAAATTGTGTTAATTATTGTGTTGGCAAAGGGTTCTCATTATTGATATTAAATACTTTTACTTAATGAATGTACATGATCAATTTATTTTTATAACTTTGTGAACTGAGGCATCCAAAGTGACTTATCTCAAACAGCTCTACATCCTCCTCTACAATCTTACATACGCTCTCTGTCTCTCTCACTATATGTATATATGTGTGTGTGTGTGTGTGTGTGTGTGTGTATTTGAGACAGGGTACCACTCTGTCACCCAGACTGGAATACAGTGATGCGATCATGGCTCCCTGCAGCCTCAACCTCCTGGGCTCAAGCAATCCTCTCACCTTAGCCTCCCAAGTAGCTGGGACCACAGGTGTATGCCACCACGCCCAGCTACTTTTTTTGTATTTTTGTGTAGAGACGTGGTTTCGCCATGTTGCCCAAGCTGTTCTCAAACTCCAGGACTCAAGCAAACCGCCTGCCTCAGCCTCTCAAAGTGCTGGATTACAGGCATTAGCCACCACGCCCTGCCCAATTTCCTAAAATATCCAGCTTTAAAAAGTGACAATGCAATGGGACACTCAGTGCTAGGTAAAATTGTAACTAATGCACCTTTACTGCTTTAATCTTTGGATTTGATTTCCTATTTCCTTCTAGTTAATCTCTTGGAGCATTAAAAGGCTACTCTTCTAACTACAAAAGGCTTTTTGGTGTTAATGCATTGTACAAATTCAGGATGAAGATGCCCTAGTGTGGAAGCTGTTTGTAAGGAACAGCTCTGGTCACATGTGGTGTGATGACTACAGAGAAAGTAAACACAATTTTTTCTTTTTTTTTGAGACAAGGTCTCACTCTGTCACCCAGGCTGGAGTGCAATGTCATGATCTCGGCTCACTGAAACCTCCGCCTCCCAGGTTCAAGTGATTCTCCTGCCTCAGCCTCCCAAGTAGCTGGGATTACAGACATGTGCCACCACACCCGGTTAATTATTATAGATTGGTCCTGATTCTTTGGTTGGCCAGACCATCCTGTAAAACACTGGCAAACCAGAAATCATCAAGAGTCACCCCTGGAACTTGGGTCATACACTTGCAGGTACTTGAATGAACATGGAGAATTACTTGGAGAATCACCAAGGGTAGACTTAAGACTCTCTTTAGATAACAGAAAGGCACTTAGGGAGAAGGAGAATTGTAAATTGCTTTCTTATTACTCCAAAGGGCAGAATTAGGTTTAGTGGGTTAAAAGGTAGATACCAGGTTACTAAAAAAAAAACTTAGCAACCGGTAATAACAAAGGAGAATAGTAGTTACTGGAGGTGTTCAGTTACATGCCAGGGGATCAAGAGAGAGAAGGTCATCCCTGAGTGCTGGGCTAGCTTCTAACACGTAGCTTCTAACCTCCTTTAGGCTTCAGGATTCTGGAAACATTGAACCGTGGTTCCTTTACCAACAATGATATGGAAAGCTGATTATCTGGAAGGACTACTAAAGGAATTCTTTTTCAGAAACTTTTGCCACATATTAGGGAACCTACTTCAGTCTGAAGTCCTCAGCAGCCAGTTTAGCATTATCAATTTGCAGGACACATCGAGCATTTTGCAGTTGAGCATCCTTAATCTGGAAAATACATGAGAAAGAATGACATTTTCTTTTTTAAAAATTTATTTATTTATTTATTTAGACAGAATCTTGCTCTGTTGCCCAGGCTGGAGTGCAATGGTGCGATCTTGGCTCACTGTAATCTCTGCCTCCCAGGTTCAAGCGATTCTCCTGCCTCAGCCTCCCAAGTAGCTGGGGTTACAAGCATCCACCACCATGCCCGGCTAATGTTTGCATTTTTAGTAGAGATGGGGTTTTGCCATGTTGGCCAGGCTGGTGTTGAACTCCTGACCTCAGGTGATCCACCCGCCTCGGCCTCCCAAAATGCTGGGATTACAGGCGTGAGCCACCACGCCCAGCCAAGAATGACATTTTCAATTGGATAGGTATTTACAAGGATTTAGTTTATCTCCAGCTGCAGTGACTATTATGTCAAAAATGATGTTTCTTTCAAGCATTTCTACAAGAAAATATAGAAAAAATAATGACATGGGTGTTTA